TGTAAAACTGTAACGAATTTTTGATTACCAAACTCAAGGATTTCAAAGCGAGCAATGGCAATATTGTACAGAAAATGCATTTTTAACTCCAGCGCGCGAGACTGCGCATCGGAAATTCTAAAGATATGCTCAGTTTAAAATTATTTTGTGATATTGCTCTTGAACTGAATTTTATGATTTAAGTGCGAAGAACGTGATATTTGATAAATAAAGGTAACACACAGAATGTTAAAAAACGGCCCTTTGGACGTAATTTAAAATCTGAAACTTAGATTAGAAACTAGATCTGAATCTTAAATCTGAAACTTAGATTTGAAACTTAGGTCTAAGCTTCATATTTAAGACAGAAACTTAGAAAAGAAACTTAGATCTTAGATTTTTTTAAAATTATTTTTTTGATTTACAATTTTTTTGTAGAGCACTGAATCTCACTTCGACACATTAAAATTTCAAACTTAAAAAAAATAACGGATATTTTGAGCTAATTGCTTTTTGATGTGCTGTCACGCTTAAACAATATTTTCGTATAATAATTTCGTTTATATCTGAAATTCGATAGGCAGTAAATAATTTCTGTTTCTATTTCGATAGTCTCGTTTCATATCAAAAGTACTTCCAAAACATATATAAAAACATATTTTACATTTAAATATTAAATATTTCGAATTTTATGAATTCGTATCTTCTTTGATTAGTTTATAAGGGCTGTTGATTTCGCTTTGGCATTTTGCATAGGTTAACTATAAAAGTCTGAATTACTTTTCAAATTGTTGCCTCCAAATATTAGAGCCCTGCATTATATTTAAAGAAATTAAATAATGAATCATCTGCATGAATGTATGTATGTTTCTTGTATTGTGAAAAACAACGGTACCCAGAGACATCAATTTTTTAATAACATAGTCCTCCACCCAAATCTAGCCCAAATCTGGTATATGTAATTTATTTTATTATCGATTTCAGATTTTGTAAAACTTTAACGAAATTTTGATCAACAAACTTCACGATTTTAAAGCATTCCATTAACATTAACATCGCGTGCATTTTCAAGCTCGGATATTTTATGCGCGAGGTTTCTTTACATTTCTTACTGGTATTATGTTGGTAGCGTAGCAACGCAAAGACGTGACAATGTCTATCGGCATTTTGCGTCAAATGACTTTGAATGTCTGTATCACTTTTCAAATCCCATTTCCAACCCCCTGTGAAAGGAACCGCCCATTTGGTGCTTAATATAAAGCCTGAAAGCTTTCAGATCGCACTTTTTTTTTGTTTTACTGTGGTTATAAAGAAATTAAAGAATCTAGAGCTATCAGGAATATAGATTTTGAACATAAAGTAATTCCTCTCAAATTCTTAAAGCCGTAACTTTGACACTGAAAAAACAATATTAATAAAATTTTGAAAAAATGCAATGAATAGAATACAAATTGGCAATACTACTTCTCCAGTTTTTGGAGATTGTTTGAAATGTCTACGAGCAATGATAATTTTATGCAAAATGTTTTTAAAACTGACATCTCTCTCTTGAATTTCGCAAAGAATGTCACTGTAGAGACATGTAGTTTATAGAAATATTGTACATCTAATTTATCACTTTAATTATGTTACGTTTCATTAGAAAAATTTTCTGTTATGTGGAATACCTAACAACAGTTTGAAAAATTAAGAATTTAAAAACGAAATAAAATGTTTCAGTTTGAAAAGTTAATTTTAAAAGTTAAATTTAGTTTTAAAAGATAATTTTAAATATTTATTTTTTTAAATTTAGTTAATTACTCTCCTCCACCATCATTTTATAAAACATGAAACATCGAGTTATTCAAAATTCATAAATTCTAAAAGATAATATTTATGCATCGTATGAGTTGATTAGAACTTTTGTATGAGCATAATTTCGGAAAAATCATATATTCTAAAATATAATACTTATTCCTGTTATGACTGATTGAATTTTTCACATGATTTAACATCATTACATTTTGTGATAATCATCCATTTCGAAGCACTTTCTAAATGCGCATGTTTAGATGGGTACATCCAGGTATTTATATATTCCTATGGAAAATGCAACAGCATTTCTGTTACTTTTATTCCTGTAAGAATACAAAAAATTCAATTTCTAAGTTCATGGATTTGAAAGAAACACGATAGCTTCAGAAATAAAGGAAAAGCTTGATGCGTTTCTTGTCAATTTCAGTTTTATACTAGGATCATTTTTGAATTATTTCAGATGTTACAAATCCTTTTAAATCCAATATTGCCTTGAAAAATTTGTTATCAGATGACTTTTTTCCAAAATGCAATTTTGCAAAAGAAATAAACTCCCATTCTCTTCTATCTAGTCCGCATTATTTTTAGGGTGATCCATTTTAAAATTGTGCAGATGATTAAACTACGTTGTTCGTTTCAAGCGGCAAAAGCGTTTGAAGGAAAAGCTGTTTCACAAGTGGACTTCGTAAGTTCCGTAAAAATATTTTCAGAGCACACAGTTCTTAAATGACTAAAATTCTGCAAAGTAATGTAATTTTCTTCCGCGCATCGAAACATATCCGTTAATGACATACTCATGTTAGCTAACTGTTAGCAATCCTGATAAATGGAAATTGAATTTTCATGATTATTCAAGATGACTAAGTTATTCATATTATTCTAGTAATAAAAACGTCATATAATAACTGCAAAATTATTTTCGTATGATTTGTTTTAATACTGCTTCAATCTTAAACTCAAAACTTACTTTTTAGTTTCAAATTATATCTTCTTGACTGGTATAGATGATAGTAGAAGCTAACACTTCAGACGAAACCGAGGGTATCTGCCCAATATCCATCTTAGAGTGGCTGTATTTATGAGTTCGTTCCCCTTTTGAGGGTTACCTAGTATTTCCTCTGACTAAAGTTATCGGTGATGAGAAGACTAAACAGCCTATTGCTTCGGCCATTTCTCATGAATGTCTTCCAGCAAATGGTAGGTATTTGGGAAAACCTTAAAATGAACTGAGAGTAATTCAAATATGATATTAAAAGGTAACAGGGTTATTATTTCACCCAACAGAAACTCTTAAATATACTGTGCATTTTTGCAATTCTTTCATCAGTCGTTTTAAGTTTGTTGTTTCATATTCAAATATATATATGTATATACATGTATGTATTGACATTTTTCGCTGAAGATTCCAACTTCTGTTAATGTAATATTCTAATATTTAAGCATTCAACGGTCTTATTAAATTAAGAATTGATAAAATAATTTATCGAATTGTAAAGAAATAGTTATTTCGTAAAGAATCGGAATAACGTTTGAATGAAGATTTTTTTAAATGTGTCTTCATATAAAGAATTTTATTTGAAAACCAGTTTTTTTTCTTCATGTTAAATGTACTTAAAGAACATTTTGAAATATTTGAAAATTATGTAGAGTGCGATTCGAAGTAAGTTAATTTTTAAAATGTAAATAATTCAATGACCTTTTATTATTTACTAATTCAAACGTAACAAGTAACATAACATGAAATAATGGGTCTACTCCTTAGGAATTTTACTATGCCTCTTTTAAAAAGTTCTTCATAAAAGTCGGTGAAGTTGGGTAGTCACCAAGTACCTGTTATTTCAGGTATTTTTATAACTTTATAAGTTTATAGAGACCGTATTCCTATCCAAGTGAAAAGACTATACATAAACAAGATTAGAGTCACCAAAATTTCGAACTTCACTAAAATTCTGAAGTTCTTGCACCAAGACTTTACGAAGCACCTTGGCACGAAAAATATGTATACTTTCGGTAAATGAACATGTTATATCCTTTATTCTCCAATAATATACATGTATTTTCGGAGCCAAGTTGCCAGAGTATTTTTTCCATTGAGGGAAAAAATACATTTCCTCGTGCATCACTAAGTATTACACGAGGCTTACATAAACGTAAGCAAAAAAGATACATCAACTTTAAATAACACAATTAATTCAAATATCTCTGACTAAAAGGAACAAACACACAAGTAAAAGAAAAAGTAATGTAGAAAAGAAAATCATTTACAACATTCAAAATAAACATTGATAAAGTTAATAAAAGCATGGTAGGACGAGGGTAAAGAAACAAAATCATGACATTTCGATTGCCAATAAATTCCAATTAGTTTTAGTCTACACTTTAGTGAATGTCTTGCATAATGAAGCAAATGGAAATCAAAAGATAGATGGAAGACTGCTGAACGCCGAGATCACAAATTGTAAGACGTCAGCTTAACCATCCAAGACAAAAACTAAACTTTCCATGCCCAGACAGAAATTGCGTAAAGTTAAAATTGAGAAATAAATTCTTATTTTCAGTCTTTCAAAGATAGTTGGAAAAAAAACTGCTTTATAATATTTATTTATCAGAAGCGATGTGATCATAATTCCATTGTTCAATCATTTTAGCTTTGAATGTTTTTTTAAATACGATTTTAGAATATTTACTTCAATATTAATATATTGTTTTAGTTTCATTCTTATCAAGCCAATCAGCTCTCTCGTTTCCATGAGTGCCGGTATGACCACGAACAAATGTAAAAAATAATAAAAAAAATCTGAAAGCTTTCAGATTTTACATTACACCCAAAGTTTAACGTTTTGTGTGTTACCTTTATTTATTAAATATCATGTTCTTCGCACTTGAAACATAAAATTCAGTTCAACAGCAACATCGCAAAATAATTTTAACCCTTAGAGCTCCGTTGGCTCCGGACGCTGTTGAGCAGTCCGTCATTTGTTCCGTAACTCCGTAGGCTCCGCTGCGGACCCCACTGTTTTTATCATAATTAGACTTAAGATGTTACGGAATCGTCGGCGTTGGCAATTGTTACCTGTAGTTAAAACGTGATCATTCTCGCTACTGTTACGATTGAAACATTATTTGACCTATTTTATGGTTAGCAACATGGAGAAAAATAATTATTGTGATGAGAATATAGAGTGATAGTGAAGAATGTGTTTGATTTTTCATTGTTAGAAGATATTATGGAAGACAATGTTAATTATAATTCTGACACTTCAAGTAGTGGTTCTGAATTTATACTACCAAAGAGACGACGAATGGTAGTTACTGAAAGTGAAAGCGAAGAGTTGCCGGAAGACTTAGATGAATGGCGCGAAGTCACGGAAGAATTAGATATTCCTGATAGAATACATTTTAGTGTATCTCCAAAGGTCACTGGACCCCAAATTCCTACAAATATTGTACAGCCGACGCAATACTTGAAATTAGTTTTCACAAACGAACTGGTAAATGAAATTATAAAAGAAACCAACAATAACGCAGAATATGTTCTAAAGGAAAACGAAATATCTAGTAATTCTATTTGGAAAACGTGGCGTGCAGTGGAAGAGGATGAGTTTTGGGCTTTTATTGGAGTTATTATCAATATGGGTACGATAACCCTGGCGAATATGCAGGATTATTGGCCTTTAAGGAGAATAGTTACATCCCTTTCTTTAGTAAAGTATGTATAAGAAAGAGATTTATGCAGATAATCTGGATGCTGCATTCAGCTGCGAAAATCTGCCGGAGTTTCTGGTAGGCAGTGGTAGAAAACGTGTGAAGTGCTAACTGTTAAAATGAGCACAGTTTTAGAATTTCCGAAACAGTCTCGCGCGCTGAAAATAAAATTTTTTTCCGTACAGTGTTGCCATTGCCATTTGAAATGGTTGAATGTGTTAATCAAAAATTCGTTAAAAGTTTATAAAATATAAAATAGATAATAAAACAAATTCCAAATTTCCCATTTGGGATTCCAGATGCCCGTATTCGAGTGGAATCGTTCAATATTGAAAATTCGATGGTTTTAGGTACCGGTGTTTCATCACAATGCGAGAAACATACATACATTTATGCAGCTTCTTCATTAGTTATTTTCATTAAATAAAATGCAGGGCTATAATATTTGGTGACACCAATTTGAAAAGTGAACCGACATTTATTGTGAACCAACGTAAAATGCCAAAACGAAATTAATAATCCATTTGGACAAATTGCCCCTTTTGACTAAAAAGACTGAAATACCCTTCAGTAGATTCCCGACAGACTTCTGTATATTAACAATAATATCATTACATGATGAGATATTTTAGAAGGGTGGAGAGAGAATTTCTGCAGATTAAATAGGTGGAAATATGTCCATCCTGGTTTAGTATCCATCTAAATGCAAAATAAATACAGAGACGTTCAGGAATATAAACAGTACATTCATTTCTAATACGAAATTGGTGGTGCTCAATTTTTAACACTATTCTCAAAGATGACATAAGCCAGACCAACTCTGTCATCAATTTTACTACCATCCGTAGAGCAAACATTTGAGAAAGAATTTTCATCAATATCCATACTATCCCAAATTTGTGCTGGTTATCTTGTAGATGAATGAGGAAAAGAAGACAAAAGCATAGATGATCATAGTGAAAACTGGAGCAATTAAGAAAGATTATCCTTGTAACCTATGCAAAACAAAATAAACATATCCAACAGCGGAAATCCAGCAATAACCAAAACAGCATTTTAACTAATAATTCGATAATCATTAATAACACGTAGCAGAACATTGCCAGGGCAGAAAGCTCTTTTATTACTTACAGCATTACAGCAAGCGTTCATAACTAAAACCCGGTATATACTTTCAATAAAAAATGTTTTAAATTTATTAACTTTTAGAAAAAAATTAAAATAAAGATAAAAGGTTTTTTTTAATTGCATATTTACTATCAAAAATTAATTTGAATAAGAAATAAAGCTTATATATAAATTAAATATCTTATACTTCGGACAAGTTAAATTCTGCCACGAATTTTGCTGCTGACTCTGCGTAACTTTAAAAATTGGATTCTTGCAGAAAGAGTGCGAATCGAATATTAATCGATTTCTCTTCAGAATTTCAAGTATTTCTAGTTATTTATCATGCGGTTTCCTTTTGTTTTCTGAGCTGTCATAACTTTAAATAATGCTCTCTCACTACGATTCTTTCAGCGGTTTCTTTTGTGTTTTAAGTCTTGAACAAAAGAATTCAGGTAATGTTTAATTTTTCTGACAATGTATAGATCCAGTACATTTTCCATTGTACTGAATATTAATCTAATAAATAAATACAGCAGAATATCATTTCATTATGTTGTGATAAACAATGAAACGAAAATATCTATTGAATTACAATATGTGCATTCTGTTTGCGGGATTCGATTTGCATTATGTGATATGCACGGGAACAGTTAAGAAAATCGGCTACTTGTCGGTTAGGTTTGGCTTCTTTATTATGTCAAAGCAATCGAGGGCTATTCATATACTTTAGAAGAGATGCTTTGGGGAATATGCTAAAGAAATTTGCTTTGTATTCACTTTATACAAGAGGAAATTATCAAAACAAAATGGTACAAAGAGAACCCATTTCAAGATTAAAAAATCAGGTCCGAAAAGAACTACCAGAGTTTCCCGATTTTATCCACTGAGAAACTTATTATTCTTGCATTTTAATGTTAACGAATAATTTCGTGAAGCGTAATATAGTTAATGATGTATGCTTAGCATAACAGTAACAATATATATGTTTACAGAATAAGGAATGTTTAAATAAATAGCAAAATGCACACTTCAATAATGATAGCGATGGAAAAGAACTACCGAAAAGTTCAAAGAGCATTTAATTTGATATGTATACATTAGGAATTTTTTTGGAAACAGGAGAGATGAAAAATTAGCAACGCCCTCGCAGGGAATCTAATCACGGACCTCTGGAATACGAGCCCAGCGTTCAGACCACCACACCACGAAGGCATGCCAAAAAGGCGATAGAAATACCTTATAGACTATCTTGTTTCATTATTGAAAAGTATATTAGGGCTGTATGCCTAAGGGAGAAAATCCCTTCGTGAAGAACTTTCTAAAGGAAATTGGTTCTTATCCACATTACACATGCTAACGTGAAAACTCTCATGTAGCCGTTACGTCCGAGGGGAGTCAAGGCTTGGTGAACTGCTAGTATTCAGTCATCGCTCGGCCACTGGTTAGTAAAGAGGATTACAATGGGAAGTACTAACAAAACATTTCTTGTTGTTTGGTTGTCATTTGTATTATTAAATGCCACAGGAAAAAGTTGGGTATGTAGAAGTCTGACGTATGCATATAATTTGAATTAATGTTGCTTCACGTGGTTACATTTATTAGGAATTTTATTTATTAAATTATACTGCTTTGAACTTTACTTCTCAATCATCTGCTGGGTATCATATATACACGTCATTGACATTTTAATACTATAAAATGCTACTTTTTATTTCCAGTATTCGTACATTGTACATTTCACTATTAACATCTGAATTAAACACTTTGAATATTGTCTAACATCAAGCTGCTTCCTATAGAGAGAAGATTATAGGAAGCAGTTTGATGTTGAGATGTTTACCTTTGAGCATACTTTGTCATTGACAACTTCCAGAATGCAGAACTTGAGCGGAAATGTAAGCTCACTAGAATACTTTTATGAAGTGCCAAACATAGTAACTAAAACTCTGAAGTTCTTAAACTATTTTAATAGTTTAAGTAAAGAGATTACATTTAAGATGAAATAAATCTAATATATGTGGAGCATGGTTAAAGAGATTAGAACATTTGGGATTCGAAGAAGAAAATTCTTGCAGGAAAGCCTACATAAACAAAATATCTCGTCGTTACCAAAGCAGGAGATTTTTAGGCGCTCCGGTTTTATTAGTTCGAAAGAGTTTATGAACCCAGGGAGATGTACTTTCTAAAATTAACTTGCTTAAACAATTGATAGGAAGAAATTTTTATTAGAGAAATGCAATGAAAATCATCAAAGGGCCTAGAAAAAATATTCAGAAGAATCCAGAAAGCTCCTCATAAACAGATAAATGGTTGAAGGTATACTTTTATTTCATATCATAAAATATGTTGTGGTTCAGATAAGTGACAAATAAATTGTGGTTCAGATAAATGACAAATAAAACTAAATCATGAACTGTAGTTACGTTTATATGAGATATCCCTTTAATGTGGGTTAGTTTAGTTGGTATGGAAAGAAACATTTAGATAGGGCTCAGAGAAAAAATGTTTATTTTTTAAGTTTAATTGCACTTATATAAGAAATAAAGTACTTTAGAACATATGCCTCAGTTTATCTGTTAGGTAATTTAAGAAATTGCTGATAAAGGATTAATTTTTATTGAATTCATTTGTAGAATTTAAGCATCACAACGGAATAGTATAGAGAACTATTTGACGCTTAGTATTCTTCATGGAATTCAGAAACTCCCACTAAAACCATTTATCATGATTGTGAAACTCAAAAAGTGCATTGAGACTTCCATGAGATTTGTATTTTTGTAATTATTGCTGAGCATAATAGAGCTGTCTGTTTAAGAAAAGGGATGCTTTCGTGAAAAACCTTTCTAGAGAAGGATACGAATCTGGGTCGAATCATCAGTGTTCAGCGGTTTTAAGCCACAGATGAGTGCTCTTCGACTAGGATTCGAAAACTGTTTAAACTATTGCAATCCACTGTTTATCAATGACACTGCTGCAAATCAGCTACAGGAGCTAGAATACCTACCTGATCGCAAGCGAAAGTGCTCACGGATGTTTTTATAACATAAAGCTTATTAATATTTGTACATAATGCTTATTTATACTTTAGCACTTTGTTGTCGTCTTGTTTGGCATTATAGTAGGGCAGCCAGCGGCTATAGCAGGTTCGAATCCTAGACAATCCTGTTAAATCAGACCTCCAATGTGGTGCACCATCTGCAATAATCTCCGTGATGGGTCAGATAAATGGACTATGAATTTAGCTATTCCTGACAAATGTTTGAACTAGCAAGGATCTGGTCAATGGAATGAGAAAAATGATTTGCTGCTTTCAGCAATGGGTGATTGATTTTAAGTATGTTAAATCGCACGAGGTATCGCTCGAAACAAGGAATACCTTTATCGAAGATTTATTTTTAAACTTGGAAGTTATGTAACGTTGCACATGGGTAAAAGCTCTGGATCGTCTATGTTGTCAACCCGTTAGGTGGGACTCGAGTCTAGATCGAGCCATCTGTACTTAGAAAATACATCCACTTGCCCACTGGTGGGCACTTTCTCCATACAATGTATTAGAAAAAAATTTTGTCTTTTATTTGCAAATATTGGATGTGGGTATTATTGCATTAAATATTTAAATATAAATTTCAGGCACATGTTTCTAATCCCGAAGTTTCTTATAATATATTGCAAAATTTCAAAATAGCTTTGATTCTGTGAGTGTTAAGATTCTAAGAATATAACTATTAATTTTCTAGATGCTCTATATAGAGTTAAATTGCAGTTCGTACAATATGTACTATGATTTTTTATATATTGAAAACAGAAAAGATGTGTTCCTTTATGAATAAAATTCTCAGATATATTCAACAAATTGAGATATTTTTCGATACTTTTTATTTACCGAAAAACAAG